CGCCTCGGGCAGCGCGTGTGCGTGCGCGTGTGCGTGCGTGCGCGCCGGACCGCACAACACGCGCGTTTGAAAGCGTCGCCGCTAGACAAAGCTCGAATCACGAATCTCGCAAGGAGTCATAATCACGAATGTGAATGAATAATCGTGGTTGCGAGAATGAGGTGGATTTGTATTTGTGATCTCTGTGCATCGGCGTCAGAATTGTAATTGTGGGGTGGGGACCGCAACGTGACTCTGCCAAAGGTATGATCCTCATCCTCACCCCCACACCACCACCACCACCACCACCATCCGCTTCGTATGTACATTCTATCGACGCCAAGCACATCGAAGCGTATATCCCTCACTTTGCTTTTTGACCTCTCTCCTTGCGCTCAGCAGGTCTGCAACCCGCCAGCTTCATCGATCGCATCCAACCAAGCCCAAGCAGTAGACTTGGCTGTCAGGCGTGATCGACTACGCTTCACACAGACACAGCACCGCTTTTCTTTGTCCGTCCGCCATTCCAACTCGGTGACTGCGCCATGCCGTCCTCAGCCTTGCCAGAGGGAGGTGCATCAAGCTCGGCAGGATCCAAGTTGTACATCAATCTTCGCAAACAGGTCAAATACCTGCTCATTGGCGGAGCAGGCGTGTGGTACTGGCAAACGTACAGCCATTGGTCGGACTGCTGGAACGGCGGTGGATGGCCAGGGTGAGTGGTGCGCGCGCAAGTGGTGTGCGCAAAGCGCTGCACGGATCAAGGGACGACAGCGGCGCAAAAGCAGTGATTGTGTCGCCTCTTTCTCGCTCACCGCACCCTTCATCGTCTATTGTTACTGCTCGCAGCACTTTGGCACTGTTGGCCGCTGTGCAATTGACCGCCACTGTGCTCATCTTTAGCTACCTGATGCTCGTATCTGCGAGCGGCAATGCTCCCGATGTGAGTACCTACAGCGTAGCCAAGAAGGGGGCCTACACGCGCGCTCTGTGTGCTATCACATGCTGAAAGATGAAGAGCACCCCATATCGCCTGGATCATCCGTCACAGTACCAGAGATGGCAGACTGATGCGTTGTTGAAGAATATCATTCCGCTGCTCACCCTGTGTCTGGTTGGCGGTTACTTGAGCTTGGCGTTATCCATCAGTCCAGCCGTAGCGTGAGTTCAGAAGCATGTCAACATTGTAGCCCCGTCTCGAAGCAGGCAAGCCCCATCTCATCAGAGGCGAACGCTGATCGGCTACATGCTGCACCTGCTGTCCCCTCATCACAACTCAGCCCTGCCCCACCTTCCGATGCTCTGTCTTCGAGGCTGCTGGATGCCGCAAATTCGCTGGGAGCGAATCTGTCCACAGCGCGCGCAGGCGCACAGCTTCTGCTTTCGGACCTGACTCGGACATTGGGCTTGAAGAGCTCCTCCATTCCTGCTCCCTCGACATCCTCGTCCATCGCTTCCAAGCTATCCACCTTCCGCTTTCGAGGATCAGCCTTCTCTTCATCAGACAGCGGGACAGATCTGGATGTTTCTTCCCTCTTGAAAGCCCTGAGGGTTCCAGATGGAGAAGCGCTGGCTGCTCGGCTAGGTGTCGACCCAACGCTGTCCAAGACGCTCCTGAGCAATCTGGATAGAGCTCAAAGAAGAGCTCAAAGGTGGAAGATGGAGAATATTCGGACGATCGGTTGGGTAGGAGCTTTTGCGGGATCTGCTAGCGTCTACTTTTTAGCTTTGGGGGCCGTTGGCTTCGTCGGTGCTTTTGCTGGACCTGCCAAAAGACTGGGAAGAAGGGGAAAAGACAGGCAGGCTTGAATCTGCACTCGGAATCGGTGTCTGCGCGCCCGAGATGCAAGACTTTGGATCGCGCACTGTTCCGCATCCGCCTCGACATTCATGCCGCCACCTCACACCATCCACACGCGAGACGCATCCAGCGAGCGCGATGAGAGGGAATGATCGAGCTGGATGCCCTCCTGTCAAACCCGAGTCTATCTGTGTATCTGCTTTCGATGCTGCTGCAAGTGGTCTTGTCTAATGGGTATGCACGTATTTCGCAGTCTTTGTATCATCCGTCGCACTCGACACGCACTTCAGCCTCTCGCGTCTGGCCTCGAAAGCGATCGAGGAAGTCAAGCGTTGCGTCAGAAGTGGATGGTGCGGGTTTTGCAAAGAAGCGACGTGTGCAAGTGCTATTGCTTCTGACTGCGGCTCATGGCAGCTCTAGCAGCTTCTTGTATGCGCGCAATCTCTCCCTCTTCCTCTTTGATACGAGCTTCTTGCGCATCCTTCATCGTCCCTTCATCACCACGGTCCACGAGCTGGGCGAAGGTTTCGTGAGAAGGAGCAGGCTCGAAAGCTCCCATCCTGATCAGCGCATCTTGCGACTGTCCCATTCGCAAGGACGGTCTTGAAGGCAGCGTGCCCGAGCTGGTGCTTGCGCTTCCGTCTGAGCTGGGCGCCGCAAACGCTGCGCTCGGAGAGGGGTTGATCTTGTTTGGGATCTGCAGCCAGTCACACAGAGCCTGCGTTTGTGGATTGGTATACCAAGAAGCTTGAGGAAGAGCGGGACACGCAAACGGAGATGGGGAGGTAGACCCGCCGTCGATGATCTGATAAGTTTTGCAGCTCGACGAGCACGCGTCACGGCAACGTCTTACTCACGCGGACCCGGTCGGGCACCTTCAGGCACATCGATGCCTGGTGCAGTCTTGACGAATGTCTGCACGCTCGCAATAGCCAACGGGTGCCTATCCAGCCCTCCCGCCTCGCCGCCTTTCTCCTTTGCGCTCAACAAGTGCTCCTTTACCCACCGTTCCTCCTCTTCAACGAGACGTTGAAGCTCTGCGTCGTCCGATAGTCGATGCGGCAAGGGCGGACGTTGGTTCCTCGCCAGACAGAGCAGAGAATGCGTCGCTCGTGTTATGGCGAGCCAACGCGGAATGTATCTGAAGGTCGGCAGACGCTGGGTCTGGTGTGCAGACTCCGAAAGGGGTGATTGTGCGCTGCTATCCTCGAGTTGCGACACATCATGGCCAGCCTCGCGCGGCTCTGAGGCGCGTGCGTGCGAAGCTGTACTAGGATGCATAGGAACAGACATGGCATATTCCTCGTCAACATCAAAAGGCGCTTCGACCTCCAAAATCTGATAATAGAGGGGGAAGAAGCAAGCCGGCAAGAGAAAACGTCAGCTGGTCAGACGTTGCATCGAAGCTTGCCGATTCATCTTCGCACACTGACCTGAAGGAAATCCTGTCCCGCCAGACACTTGCTGAGAGCCAGAAATTTGGTCGCGCTACTTCCATACGCTGCCCTGGCCCACGAAGTGCTCGCTAACGGCTCTGCACCTTGAGCGTCGACGACTGTGTCGTGCTGGTGCGGAGGATCTTCGTCGATGTCCTCGTCTGCAGGTCGAGCTGGAGCGGTCTCTTCGTCGCTCAACTCGATATCAATCTGTTCGCTGCTGGGCACCTCTGCCGCTCTGTCTACACTCTCGTCTACTGCTTCGTCCACCGCTCCGGACACCTCGCTACCGACGACGCCCGAGTCCAACTTTTCCGCCGATCCGCTCTCCTTGCTAGCTCTCTTTTTGTCCTGCAATCTCGTAGCTTGTCCATCGTGCTTGTACAGCGCGGCGAATCTGACGTGCAGATGAGCAGCGAACCAGTATTGCGGCTTGAGCCTCTGCAGCAAATCCATGAGCGGCGGGTTTCCCAAAGTCGAGCTGTTGATCTCGTCTGTGAAGAAGGGCTTTTTCCGCTTGAGCCAATCAGTATCGCCATGCTGTTCTATCGTGTTTGGCCAGTCGTGCGATAGGAAGATGTTCGGTGAGAGCCGGGGATAAAGCTGAGAGGAAATTCAAAGGCATTCAACAGGGATGCGGCATGAGCCAAGGATGCCTGCTTCTCTGGTCAATGCGATGTGCTCCGCTTTCGCTGGGCACAAAGGCCTACTTACAAGTCCAAGCCGCATGACGTCGTACTGCCTTGTATGATAGGTGCTGCGCACAGTTGACCGATCGTACGGCAGCCTCTCGTACCTTGGCGCTCTATAGTCGTGGGATTTGTAGATGCCGCTGATACCGCTGATATCGAGACCTCCAACTTGCACGCTTCCTGCTGCACCTAGATAGTAGATGTTGGGCGCTAGCCATCCTCCGTGATAGCTTGACAAGGCAGAGGGTGTCACACCGAGCGTCAGATCCAGTCCCCGCATCGGCGTAGGCCAAGATGCGACTCACAGTTCCCACATGTATGCGCTCGCCTCATGATTGCCACCAACGACGAGAGTGAGATACTCGGCCTGTTTGAGACCGGTGTAGTAGTGAACAAAGTCGCCGAGCTGCTTGTACTTGTCTGGCACAGCAATCGTCTCTAGGTCTGCAACATTTCGCAGCGCTTGGAAATCGCCGCAGAGGAGGACGAGATCGGTGCGCTTTTTGGCCTGGGCGTCGAGGGAGCGGATGGAAGCGTAGATGGAGTCTAGTGCTCCGTGCGAGCAACCCTGAACAGCCACCCTCATTACACGAATGACTGTCGATTGACTGGTAGGATTGTATCAGCAGCCAGTCACCCAGTGCTGCTTCGATGATCGTGGAGCGCTCCCTGACCTATGCCGTGCGAGCTGCTTGACGACTTTCCATGTGGTTGCATGCGATCATGCTCTGCTCGATGTCCGATAGTCTGTTGCTATGTGCTCACCTCTTTCAGTTGGAGAGCGTCGCGTGCCCGTGCCCAAAGAATGGGGACAATTTCGAGTCTGTCTGCCTCGACTGTGACTTACGATTCCTTCCAAGTCAAAGGCAGTGCCGACATGCAGAGAAAAGTGGAGCTCGAGGATGGTGCAGCGGGAGCAAGTAATGAGTAAGGCGCGCTCCAAATCTTTCACGTGATTCATAGTCGTGTGAGTGAGTGAAGGCGCTAGGTGCAAGATTGTTCTAGGTGAAGAGCACACGGCTTCTCGATTGCCACCACGCGTACGGCGTTCTGGCGCAACCCGATCGGAGTTGGGGGCACGAGGGTGGCTGTGGAGTCTGGATGACTTGCATGCATGCAGCGTCATGTCTTGGCAAACATGGATCTGAATCTGCTGCATGCAGGCGCGCGTCCAGAGGCTAAATCGTGAATGGCACACTATGGCAGCGAGCTGAGCCGGAAAGCCGGACAAGCGCCCGCCCCACCGACCGACCGACCGCGGACAACAGCGACGGTGTGGATCTCGCGCAGGCGCTCGTTCATCGTCTTTACCGCTCATGAATCGCGAGAGAGAGAGAGAGTAGGAAAAGAGGCATGCATGTGTGTAAGGGTCTCTCTGTTAGTATGAACTGATGGGCGTAGCGCGAGTCGCGAGTCGCGAGTCGCGAG